ACTGATCCTGGTATCTGAGAACTTATCCCAAAATCAGCTTGACTAGTGATATTCATACTTTTCTGCAGAAAATGAACCCACTCAACATGCACATGTTTTTAAGTACATAATAGAATGCCAGGTAGGAAGGAACCTCAAAGATCATCTGGTCCAACCTTTCTAGGTAGGAACATGGTTTAGATGCAATGGCCCAACACCTTGTCAAGCCAATTCTTCAAACTGTCCTGTGTTGGGGAATACTGTGTTATGTTGGGTTTTGTTGTCATTGTTGTGTTTTGTTTTGGTTGGTTTTGTAGGGTTTTTTAATATATGTAATTATTTTGTGTCGGACTACGCATGACAGTGCTTCTGCATTTATTGTCCATGCTTGGAAATACCACATTTACAGACAACTTATTTCCTTGAGTCCATACTATGATTTTAAAAACTGGTAGTTAACTAGGTTCCAGGTGATGTATCAGGGAAATGATAGTAAGAACTATAGTTAGTTTCCTGTTGTTTAACTTCAGCTGTAGAAAAGTTAAGCATTTGCTCTGTAGTTAAACGTCCATAGGCAAGGGGGAAGTCTTGTTTCTGCTAGATAAATGACTTAAGGAGGATGAGGTGAATCACCTCTGGATTTGTCTTTATGGGCATGCCAAGTCCAGACAGTTAACTGAAAGATAATGCCTAACTTTTAGATGGCTAATTTAAGATGCAATTAATCCTGTCTTAATGTAATCCTCTATATTGGGAAAGGACAGTGTTATGCATTTAAGGGTGGCACTAAAGAGCACCTTAGTCAGGAGCCAAAAGCAGCTTGCGGTAAAGGCATTACAAATATACATTTCCAGTATTTGAAAAAAACATATTTTTAGGCTGCTGCCACCAGTTTGTATCTCCCCTGACATATCATTACTGATATACTTTTTTTTTTTTTTTTTTTTTTCTGATAAACCCAAAGTAGGAGTGAAATTATTTACCTGGTAAGTAGGAGCTTGAATACTTGGGTGACAGAGAATAAAAATACATCCTGCTGTTCGCAAGGCTGGATACAGAAGATGCACTGCTAAGGTGGCTCCATTGTAAATAGGAGTTGGGAAATGGAAACAGTGAGTTATGACCACTCGGCTTTATGTCAGGTTTCATATTTGTAGTGAGGTTTTTTTGAAACTTTTATATCTTGTGCAGTGGAAATGTTTCATGTCCATAAGCATGGTGCTTAACTGTTGTTCAACACCACTTGTAAGTATTTCCATTTTAGAGATATTTTTTATTATTATTATTTTCTTTCACTATTATTTGCCCAACGTTTAAACACTTTAGGTTTGTTATTTTTCAAGACTGAGCAAAATGATTTGAAATTTCTTTCAAAACAGAAAGCTAAGAGAATTATGCTTCATTTAATCAATATTTGAGATAGTTGAGATCTTGCAGTAATCTAGTAAGGAACTGGAAATAATTTCTGTGGTAAACATGCAAAGCTACATAGAATTTGGAGAACTTTTTTTTTTCTATTTTTTTTAACAGTTTCAAAATTTTAGTTGGTCCATACCTGATGGTTAGTTTTCCCCAAAATAAACTTAATATACTGGAAAGCTGAACTTCCACTTGTGGAGAAATAAGGCTGCCAAGAAGCCAGGCAGTGCTGAGGCAGGATGGCCATGCCAGCTAGCAGCCTGCCCTGCCGCCCTGGCCGGCCACTGCTCTGCACTTCTGTGCCACGTTCCACCACAGAGCTAATAAATAAAATACCCTTTTTAATTTGGCCCTCCTTCTTGACTTCAGAAACCTAAGAAACGTGTACTGTGGTATGTCCTGCAGGAGGCTGACCTTTTCCCGCAGTGTAGGGTATGCTCAGCAAAGGAGGCAGCGATGCATGGTGAATCACAAACAGTTTCAGGATTGCCGTACTCTGTGCCGAACTGTTTCCTATCTCCAGCATGTAATTTGCAAGCAGATCCATTGAAGTTTTTATAATTAGGCTCATAAGCTTCTTTTGGATTTCCTTTTTTAAGGAATGGAATTGGACATTATTGTTATGTGAATCTTTCGGAAATGTTTTCCAGAGAAAGGTTTCCTATTTATTCCAGAGAAAAGTTTCCTGTTTATTTCTTTTTTCCTTCAGTTTTCCAAAATGGCTAGGTAAAGATTCCATTTCCATCAAGAAATGAACTGAAATTACCTGATAGAAGTGACTGTGATGCATAAGAAAATCTTTTTTCCCAGCAGTACTGAGCATAAACGTTTTTCAATAGGCTAAAGTAAATACGTATTTCTAAAATTGGATCCATAAAGTAGGTTTTGCTGCTTAAAAAAAAAAAACAACAAGAAAAAGGTAATTAGAATGTCACTCCTTTTTTATATGTTAATACATAAACATTTGGCAAAAGAAACCACTTTTGTCACCAAGCAGAAACATCTGTGGCAGTTCTCTGAATGCCCTTGTTTGCCTCAGAACAAGTCACAGCCTGGAGAAACTGGCATTTTTGTACTTAACACTTGCAGTGTGGGCGTATTTGTATCCACTTATCTATGTGTATCTGTATGTGTGTATGCCTGCATACGCATCATATATGAGTGTAGTTGCACAGCATTCCTTTCATGTTTGAGAAGAACCCTCCTTTGTGCCTCCTGCCCAAGTGTCCTTTCTCCCCATTGCTTCCTCGCTTTCAGGTATCTATTACAAAAATACTTTACAGACTTATTTTTCTTCAGAAGAATTATAAGTTTAGGAATATGTAGACTTTTTTTTATTTTTATACCACAGATCTTAGTAAATATTGCCTAATCTTTAAAAAAATGTAGAAGTCCTTTTTTTTATGGCTAACAGCAGCGTTAGTTGATCGGTAGATATATTTTTGATGTGCTATAGGTAAGCAGTTATCTTCAAATGTCATTGTCTGGGTATACTGAGGAATTCCAGTTCCACTAAATTCACCAAAGGGATTTTGCTGTCACGTTTTTTATTGAGCGGTTCTGGTTTCCCCCGACAGCAGAGGTTTTGGAGGACTTGCTGCTGTTCTGGTTTGGTAGGAGTGTGCATTTGGGTTTTGGTAGTGTGGGTGGGGAGGGTGCTACAGATGTGGCTTCTGTGAGGAGCTGCCAGAAGATTCCTAGGTGTCTTGACTCCGACCCACCTCTGGCCAAGGCCAAGCCCATCAGCGATGGGATAGCATTAAAGAAGGGAGGAGAAACACGGCACAATAGTGACTGCAGCCAGAGTGAGGAGTGAGAATACATGAGAGAAACAACTCTGTGGACACTAAGGTCAGTGAAGAAGGAGGGGCAGGAGGTGCTCCAGGCATCAGAGCAGAGATTCCCCTGCAGCTGGTAGTGAAGACCATAGTGAGGTAGGCTGTCCCCCTGCAAGCCCATGGAGGTCCATGATGGAGCAGGTGGATGCCTGAAAGAAGCTGTGATGCTGTGGAGAATTTCCCCTGGAGCAGGCTCCTGGCAGGACCTGTGGTTCCACAGAGAGAGGAGCCCATGCTGGAGCAGCTTTGCTGGCAGGACTTGTGACCCCGCGGGGGGACCCACACTGTAGCGGTTTGTTCCTGAAGGACTGCACCCCATGGCAGGAGCCCATGCTGGGGCTGTTTGTGAAGAACTGCAGCCAGTGGGAAGGACTCAGATTGGAGAAGTTAATTGAGGACTGTCTCGTGTGGGAGGGGTCCCACACTGGAGCAGTGGAAGAGTGTGAGGAGTCCTCTCCCTGAGGAGGAAGGAGCAGCAGAGACAACGTGTGATGACAACTCATGACAACTCCCATTCCTCATCCCCCTGCACTATTGAAAGGGAGGAGGTAGAGAAGTCAGGAGTGAAGTTGAGCTCAGGAAGAAGAGAGGAGTAGTTTTTATTTCTCTTTTTTATTTCTCATTATTCATCTTTGATTTGATTGGTAATAAATTAAGCTAATTTCCCCAAGTTGAATCTGTTTTTAGCCCATGACAGTATTTGGAGAGTGATCTCTCCCTGCCCATATCTTGACCCACGAGCCTTTCATTACATTTTTTCTCCCCTGTTCTGCTGAGGAGGAGAGCGATAGGCAGCTTGGTTGGCACCTGACATCCAGCCAGGGTCAGCCACCCACAGAGGGATGTCCTACCTGCTTTGGTGTCTATAATGACGTAGTAGTCTACAGAAGCTGAATTGTGTCCTGCCCTGTACAAGCCCCAGTGACTCTAGGCAGTAAGCTGGAGGCACGAAAAAACTCAAACATCTCTAAACAATTTCTGTTGGTTTTTAACAAAACTGTTCTAAGGAAAGGAGAGAAATGGTAGTAAATACCGCCATTACTGTAAAATTATTTCAGACCAGGGGAGTCTTTAACAATTTATACATATTGCTCAGCTGGAAGTTTCTTGGTGTCTTTATGTTCATTTAGGGAACTTCATACATATGTTTATAGGAGCTACATTCTGGAGCTTAATCCAAAGGTTTGCAAACTTCCTGGCTCTCCATAGAGCCAAAACCAGGCATTTCTATGTCTGTCTGTGTTTTTTGTGGATTTCATTATTGTATCTTGGCAGCTCTGTGGTCTTCCCAAATTCTGCTTCAGTGTGCATGCATCTCAGTTCTGTTGCTATTTTTTTCTCTTTACATGCTGCTATTCCTTCGCAGTTATATTTTTACTGTCTAGCACTTGTTTTATTTTCGAAAGCATAAGTTACCAGTAAAGTATACTACTGTTTTTACTGAGCTTAGGTTTTGTTGTTTGTTTTTTTTCTGTAATCTGAGGCATGTTTGGCCATTGCTTGTTCCTCTCCTTAGTGTAATTTTGTGCAAAGACAGCTACTGCACATATACCAGGCCAGAATACCTCCTATTATCTTTCTTTCTAGACATTTTTGTGGTTGCAGAATTTTACCGTAATGCTGCTGTGAAAATGGGACTTCTGGAAGACCAGTGTTGGCATGACTTCCCCATGTACATTCAGGTCCTTTAAGATCCTTTATATATTTTTGTTTACAGTTAGTAAGTAGCATACAGACTCTTCATTAGAGAGTAGTTTTCTGAAAATGCTTTTGCACTTACCTAAATCTAATCCCCTCTCTTACAGATGCAGAGAGATAAAGTATGATTATTACAGCCTGCCAAAAACCTCTGTTGTGATAGCTTTTTATAATGAAGCTTGGTCAACACTTCTGCGAACTGTTCATAGTGTTCTTGAGACATCTCCAGATATACTTTTGGAAGAAATTATCCTTGTGGATGATTACAGCGACAAAGGTAGGAAGAGTAATTCTAAATAATGTTGATTGTTTGTGGGGTTATCTGATCACAGGAGGAAAATATATGCTGTTTGGGTAACGTAACATAAAATTGTACAACATAGGCGTCTAATTGGAAGATGGGTTTTCTTGTAACATGGCAGTGAAAATTTTGAGTTCTGGACTAACTTTAGCTCAGAATGGGGAAGCACATTTGCTTTGTTGTGACACGAGTGCTTGCATATATAGGTGACTTTAGTCTTGGAGCATTTCAGGCTTCCTAATTTGAGCAAGTTTTGATTACTCCAAGGTTTCCCTAGTGTGAGATGTTATAAGGAGTCTCCTGGTTGTCTGTTTTGATTTGAATTATAGGACACAAAACAATTCTGGCATTTTTCACCACATGCGAATTGTGTTAGGAAAAAAGCTTTTACATGGAAATAGCTTTACAAAGCACTTGAGATTCACTTAACAATTTGAAAATTAATTACACAGACAAATAGGAAGCATTCAGTTTCTTAAAACTAAGCATGATTTCAGTCCATCCAAGCTGTGTGCTTTTTCCTTGTCCTTCCCTAACACAGACAGTACGGCAGAATCAGAGCCAGCATCTTTAAGGCACTGCTGTAAGAAATACACTAACTGAAAAAAAGTTTCCTGTCTCATGACGCTAATCAGTCATTACATAACTATATTCCTCCTCTCTTATTTTGTCTTTTTACAGAACATTTAAAGGAGACTTTGGAAAACTACGTGGCCGGGTTACGCAAGGTGCGTCTTATCCGTGCCAATAAGCGAGAGGGGCTGGTTCGAGCCCGGCTGCTCGGGGCTTCTATAGCGAAGGGAGACATCCTGACATTCCTGGATTGCCACTGCGAATGCCATGAGGGCTGGCTGGAGCCGCTGTTGGCAAGGTGAGGTTATACTCTGAGCTGATTTTTCTCTCCCATTGCAGAAGGAGAAGGGACAGTTTGGCACACTTACACAATGGAAAAAGGTCTCTTCTCGGAGAGTTTACGGAAAGTTACCACAGTCTGGTCCCTGAGACACTCCTGGTGGTGAGGTAGCCAATGGAAGCATGGAAGAGCAGGAGGTGGACTTTTGTTTTTTTCCAGAGGACCAGGCTGGTATTTTTCTTCAGAGAAGGGAAAGTTTTGTTTTCAGGAAGAGGAAACCTCCCTCAGCTTTGAAACTACCTTGGGAAAGGTGGTTACTTCTGTCAGCCTTGGTGGTGTGTCCTGGTTTGAGCCAGGATGAAGCCAATTTTCTTTTTACTTTTTTTTTTTTTTCTCCTTCATTGAACTCTCTTTTAAGCAGCACACTTGTTGAAACTAACACCAAGTTTTCTGCCGGTGGGCTGATGATGCCCAAATATTTATAGTTACTGCCCAGAGAGGAAGGACACTTTGCTCCACTTGTTGAATCTGGTGCTTTGGACACTAAAGGAGCAGAAGAGTTGTATCTACAACCCTCCTGTAGGGAGGAGAGGACTAGACAGATAGCAAAATTGGACAGATTATTCCATCCCATATATAGTTAACTCTCGGTATAAATTCAGGGATCATGGAAGTGAACTTGCCTTCTTCTTCCCTATCTTCCATCCATAGCCAGCATCCAGAGAGGGCTCTATCCATCTAGAATACTAGCTCAATTACAACTTAGAATATTTCTGATATCCTTGAAGCCTCACCCACATGTAGTTAGCAGCCATGCATGCACTTCTCCCACTATCAGTTCAACCACTGGTACATCTCACCACAGCACCCTGCCACCCACACCTCACATGCACGAGGCAGTATTGCTTTTGCCTGTCTTTTTGACAGCGTGTATCTTTACCCCCTTGGATGCCATTAGTAGATATTGATAAACACAGTACCTGAACTGTTGTCCCAGACTGGGTGAGGTAGTAGATGAGATCTGTATGCATAGAATAAGATTTCTGTATAGATACTGTATATAGAAAGTTGGCTCTCTTTAAAACACCGTTTAAAAATAGCCTTTTTTCAAGGTTAGTGGTTTGATTTGCATCCTATAAAGATTCCCACCAGATACTGTAGAGTTCAGAGAAGGGCCAGTGCAAACTGTAGAAAGGTATCCAAAACCACATGCTGTCTTGAGGTGTTTAAGTCTTCCTTATTTCTAGTGGATCTTGTGTTCTCAAACTCACCGTGTCCATTTGAAATAGTATCTGGGGTTATAGTTTATTTTTTTTCTTAAAATTTTCATATTTCACATGTTTCTAAGTTTCACTCCGAGTATATTCCAGATAACTTCGGGTTAACTATGAACAGTATATAGATAGTGTGAAGAAAGGAAAACGGTAAAAAGAATAAGCATTGTTTTAATGACTGTCTTCTGAAGAAACTACATTCTGTGGAGACGATTCTGCAATTTCTTCACTTCTTTAGCAGACCACTAGATGGCAGTCTTGAGGAGGGATTTGGATAATTTCAGGTATCTAAACTCACCTTCTGTAAAAAGTTAACCCTGGATGTGTCTTGAAATTTTTTTCCCTTCTTGCAAATGCAGACATAAATCTCTAAGGGGGTGTTTGCAAGGCATATCTGACTCAAATGTATGGGAGCAATACCACAGTGTTAGCACTTTGAAGTGCAAACATAGTTGGATTTGTAAGCTGCCTGTGCATTGTACTATCTAGTTAATTCTTAACTTACAGGAAAGGTGGTGACTTTTCACTTATTCCTTTCATAGCTGAAATCACATGCCAGCTACCTATTTTTTACTCCTTTTCATTTACAGGAGCAACAAAACATTTTTACCTTTTACTAGGATTTTTTTCCTTTGCAGGCATATCACTCACATTGCTTTATATGTAAGTTATATGCAGGTGAGACAGGAGATAGCAATATTTGTATAAGCCCTTTTGTGTACTCTTAACAAACAGGATTTTAATGGGAGGTCATAAATCAGAAAACAGCTGTCTTGCATCTTCCCTCCAGCAACAAGAGACCATTTCATTCATAAGGCAGTCTTTCTCAGCTCAGACAATACTTCTTGGGAACTGCTGCTGTTCTCTGCTGCATTTAACCATAACCACCACAAGCTGCTCTAATTTCAGAGCCAGAGCCGCTTGGTTAGCCTAGGGGTATTTGAGTATAATAATTCCATGAAGAGCTAGCTCCCTTTGAAAGACAGATACATCATGTCTCTTCCTTGCTTGGCAATATAGTGTGTTCAGTTTTCTTTCTCCTCGGGAATCTGCAAATCAGAAGATGCAGGGCTGAAACAAGTACCAGCATCCTGACGTCAAACAAGTCCTTTGTTTCACTGAACTAACAGGAGATGTTTAAGACTAGTGTAGAGAAGAGTGATTTAGGAAAAAGACCTTAGCTTGATCTTGCATACTTGAAGTTGATAACTCCTAGTTCTCAGAGAGGCCTTTCCAGAGGATCAAGTGAAAACAGAGGATCCCTCTGCCTTTTGTAAAGGCCAATGCTTTTGGAAAGGAATCCATAAAACCCTGCATGGTATTGAGAAATGAGAGGAAGGGGTTTATCTCCTTGCAGAAATAGACCTGCAAGAAATGTCATCAGCTATGATATATTCTGAGTGTGAGAAAGACCGTAACTATCTTTAGATCAGCCAGATAGTCATCCTGCAGTACTATCTTGCTTGTTTCTCCTTTTTATCTCCTATGTTGCCTGGGTTTTTGGAGGCCTCCTTCAAGTATGTTTCACTGTTGGGAGATCGAATTTCTGGGTTGCATGGGTTGTGTGTGTTGTGTTTGGTTGGTTTTTTTTTTTGGGGGGGGGGTATTTTTTGTTTGTTTGGTTTGTTTTTTCTTTTTGTTTAAGCTCATGGCTTCTTTTTGAGTTAGTGTTATAGTGCTCAGTCTTACTTTTTGCAGTTGATAATAGTTACAAGAACAACCATGATTTTAAGGGCCAAGAGGCTAGTTAATTAATTATTAATCTTTGCAGAACTATACTATCATGCTGCTCTCTTAATATGTTAAACCCAGCTACCTGTAAAATACAAAACAGACATTTTTGTTGAGAATTGGGTGCTGGCTATGGCAGCCAAGCCAGATGCTGAGTGTGTTATCTCAAGCCATCTGACATACCTTGCTTCCCCTGTCCAGGAAGACTGATGATTGCCAGGTGCCTACAGCTGAGTCCATCCTGCTGTATCCTCCTGATGCAAGAAATGGGGGGTTATTCTTACAGCTGTTGTTCCCTTCTGTTCCAGCTTTAATTGAAAGGGAACAAAACTTTGTGTTTGGTATACATAAGCATTCCTCTGTTCTTGACAGTTCTAGTTTTTGAGAGAAGTTTCTAATGGAAGTCACCCTTTTCTTTTAAACATACTAGGATTGCGGAAGAAGAAACAGCTGTTGTCTGCCCTGTTATTGATGTTATTGACTGGAATACGTTTGAGTACTTGGGAAATGCTGGTGAGCCACAGATTGGTGGATTTGACTGGAGGCTGGTCTTCACTTGGCATAGTACCCCTGAAAGAGAACAAAAACGGAGGAAATCCAAGACCGATGTGATCAGGTAAATTTTTATGCATCTTACCAAACTGTGATTGATACAAGTGTTTCTGATCTCAGTTGGAAATGCCAGGTGCTGAAAAATATTTGAGAAATGTTAATATTACTAAAAATTACGTATTTTGTTTAGTTCTCTTTTTCCAAAATAACTCCTGCTCAGTGTGCTCCTGGAAATATATTGCTCTGAAAGCTGAACTTCCTCTTTAATCTTCCATATGGAATCTTTACTGCACAAGTACTCTTTTGACTGCTGCAGGCAAACTCCTACAAATGTTTATCAGCACACAGAAAGGTTGTAACTGATTAACTAATACTGAAGGAAAGCAAAGATATCCGTGTTGTAAAGAATATATCATGGCCAATGATGGAAAAGGGGGAAGAAAAATCATCAACCAGTAAGAAGGCAAAGGTAGTTTTGAAGACTTACTCTGTGCTGTAGGGTTTGTGGTTTTTCCAGTTTTCAAATTTGCCAGTCCTGTCCTGAGATGAAATTACTCAGCTTTACACACCATAATTTCTACAGAGTGCTAAATCATAGGAGTTCATATGGATGTCTTCCTTACGAATTTTAGTTTTGTTTGATTTTTAAGGCAAGTTTGAGTCAGTCAGTGTTATTTGTCAATTCATGCTGTATTTTTAGGAAAGGTGAGGTAAGAGTATAAACAATGCATCTGGAGAATGGACACCGTAGACAAAATTCTGATAATTGAGGGTCTGATCAGTTCAACTTGGAAGTTGCTGTGTTGCAGCAATTTATTGTAAGAAATTAAGCAGCAGTTTGGCGTTTTTAACATAATGATTTTTTTAGTCCTTGGTGATTAATTTTTCTCAGTCTTTTCTGGGTTGCTTATCATGATAATTATATCCAGTACTTCACAAATAATAATAAACTTATTCTCAACTGAGACAACTTTTTTTTTTCTAATGGGAAAAGTGAAGTAGTAATTTACTCCTTCTCAGCATATATTAGCCACATTCTTCTTTAAAACAGTTTTAAATTTGAGTAAATGCTTTTAAAGCCTTTAGCTTAAATATGATGCTTTTCTTCTCCATGACAAGAAGAATTGTCTTTGGCAGGCCATGGGGAAAACAGTGAGGGATAAAGCTCCACAGTAGCCTGAGGACTGTAAGCCCAGCAAGTGTCAGGAGAAGGCAGCAGTGCTGAGACTGGTGTTACTGACAGCTGTGTTAGGAAAGAGGAGATCTGGAGTGAGACAGAAGAGCTTGACTGGTTATGGAGTTTGTTTTTTTCCCTTCTGTCTCACCTCATCTCATTCCATTCTTTGAAACAACAAATGACAGTGTAAGACAGTGTTGCTTCAAAAAGATGGCTGGTAAAATTAGTTTTGACAGATTGATCACTGCACCTAGCATTGTTAATATTTACCTCAACATCAATTTAGTAAAATTCATAAAGTGTTAGCTGAATTTAGTTCCAAACAGCGTTATATGCTTGGCATTTTAAAGAAGGTAATTTTCTAAGACTACAAACAATTAGGAACAATATTGAACATATACAAGTTTATGTATATGTGCACACACTACCCTACCCTAAACTGCACTTATCACTGTGGACCTTGTGGTCTTTGATGAGGAGCTGATTTGGAGTTTGCAATTATTTTTTTTTCCCAAACTAAATAAAAAATTAAAAAAAATGCAGATGGGCAGATCTTTTTAAAAATAAAAGAAAAATCTTTAGGGACTATGCTTACCTAATTCTATTCAGTTGATGCCCAAGAGTTTTTCCATTTCATAGAATCATAGAATCGTAGGGGTTGGAAGGGACCTCTGAAGATCAAGTCCAATCCCCCTGCTGCAGCAGGAACACCCAGGGCAGATCACACAGGAACTTGTCCAGATGGTTATTGAAAGTCTCCAGAGAAGGAGGCTGGGCAGCCTGTTCCAGTGCTCCGTCACCCTGATAGTGAAGAAGTTTTTCCTCATGTTGAGGTGGAACTGTGTTGTAACTTGGTGCAGTTTCCACTTGTCTTACCACAGGGCACCACTGAAAAGCCCTCTGTTGTACTCTTTCCAGCATATCCCTGTCCCTCTTGAACTGGGGAGGCCAGAAGTGGACACAATATTCCAGATGTGGCCTCGCTAGGGCGCAGTAGAGGGGAAGCAGAACCTCCCTTGAGCTGCTGGACACACTGTTCTTAATGCATCCCAAGATACTATTGGCTGTTTTGGCCATGAGGGCACATTGCTGTCCTATGGATAGTTTGTTGTCCACCAGAACTCCAAGGTTTTTCTCCATGGGGATGCTTTCAAGCAGGTCAGCCCCATATCTATATTGGTGCATGGTGTTTTTTCTCCCCACATGCAGGACTCTACACTTATTCTTGTTGAAACTCATTATGTTCATCTTTGCCCAGCTCTGCAGTCTGTCTAGGTCTTGCTGAATGGCTGCACAGCCTTCAGTTGTATCAGCCAGTTCTCCCACTTGGTATTACAGGATCAGGAATGTTGTTATTAATTACTATAGCAGAGATATTTGTTTACATATTACATAAGTAAAATATATATATAAGGATATTGCCCTTAGAATTTTAGAGCTGACTAATAAAATTCTGCAAGAAAAAAGCTTATGTTCTATGTGAAGGTGAAAAGCTAGTATTTTATTGTCATTCACAAAAGCACTGTAATTACAAAAATTTATATGAACACAATGTTTATGTTCTCAAATTTCACTGTTATTTTTATTTAAATACATTCTGGAGCTTTTTTCACAGAGAAAACTTTACTACAGTCTTAAAATGGAATGGCCTGATGATAACTGATCAATGGCTGCCTGTTCCTTTTGTATGCAGAAAATCTGAGAAAATTTAAAACAGAAATATATTTTTTTTATCTATTTCATTGGTTTGTTAATTTACATTTCTTTGATTTTTATTCAATTAAGAATTAATATTCACTTTTACAGGTCTCCAACCATGGCAGGTGGATTATTTTCTGTGAGCAAGAAGTATTTTGATTATCTTGGTTCATATGACACAGGAATGGAAGTCTGGGGAGGAGAAAACCTTGAATTCTCTTTCAGGGTAAGTAAGGGGCTCAATTGAAAGTGTTTTTTCCTGAGGAGAAAAACAAGTTTCTTATTTTTTTTCACATCCTTTTAGTTAATGAGATAGCTGTAATGTAAACAAGCGTTAAGAAGAGAGTATTTTGGGAGATGTTTATATGAATTTCTTGTCCTTGTTCTCACACCTCGTTATGGCTCTATTTTCCTTGCAAACAACCCTTTTAAAACATTTTTTTAAAAACATACCTTTGTTTTGAATGACAGTATAAAATGTAAGTAGAAGTATGATATTGACTAGTGAAGTTTACATTCTGTGGCTCGAAAAGGATTGTTGGAAAGAAACATTGATAATTCTCTGATGTGACACAGAGCTCTCACCACAGTTGAAGGAGTGAGCAGGAGGCAACTGGGGACAGTTACCAGTGGGGCAGGACAAGCCAGCTCCTGCACTGCTTATGAAGGTTTTATTATGCTTCAGGAAAAGCTTGTATAAAGGTTATAGAAGGTGATGGGGTGTGGACTACATAGATGGGATGGAATAAAAAGGATTTGTGGCAGGGGAAGAGACAGGAGATACGAGATACAGGACAATCCAGACTGAGCAAAACAATCTTGTCCTCCTCCACTCTGCTGTTCCCTGTGCTGGCTGATCACCACGAAGCACTGTCTGCCTGTGGTTTGCTCCATATCACACTTAGCTTGCTGAAGCACTCCAGTGGTGGTGTGCACTGCAGGGCAGTTTTTGCCTCGCAGGGAGTTCACTGCTTGGTACCCTGGATTTCCCTTGCCTTTTCTGGTTATCAGATGTATTTTATGGTCATATTTGCATTGCTCTGTGTCACTAAATTGTGGGACACAATGGTTGATGGTTTTATTTTTGGCTTCACCAGGTGACAGCAGATTTCAGGGACAAGTAGTATTTTAATGTTACAAAACCACTTACTTGAGAAAGGAAGCATTAGCAGACTGTCTCACTTGATGTCTGCCTGTTAACTGGGGAAGCATGGAGTCTTCCTGGCTGCTGTCTCTGTGTCTTGTTGCCTCTACTGCAGAAATCCTAGCAAGGAGGGCACAAAAATAACGAAAGAAAAGGATTAGGGAAGATAATAAGCACAGACCTGGAGTTGACATGGTTTCTCCCTGAAGGGCAATTTTTCAGCTAGAATCACTGTTCTGAATTCATGACCACCTCCTGTCTCAACTAGGGAAAATTTTCTGGCATGTAAGTCCCAACACACAGCCTGCTTGGTCAGTAAATTCAGCAGGCCTTCACCTTAACCTCAAAGCAGCTTACCCGACTCCATCAGCTCTGTGAGCTTCTGAAGCAGGAGTCTCCCAGCTGTCTTTGGTTCTGGTGTAGCCCATGTTGAAAGAGAGGTCCTCATCTCTTTTCACTGGAAGGGATTTCTTTTCTGTGGGATAATTGCTCAGTCATAGAGTCAGGAGCTATGAAATAGCTCTCAATAAAATTGTTGTCATGCCTCCTTTTGAGTGGTTGCTCAGGGAGCCAGAAGTAGTAATAGACTGGATTTGAACAAATGATTGTGCTCATCATCAGTCACAACCCAAGGTAGGTTAAGCTGGAAAGCAGCCTGGTGGTGGATGCCATCCCCAGCTAACTCTGGCAAGGGAAATTTGGTTTTCTTGCTCAATGAGGGATTGGAAGGGGTGATGACAGTGAGGGGTTCATGCATTTTTGGGTACAAATGCTTGCTGACTTGGGGCTTACTGTGTCTCTTGCTTTCTATTGAAGCAGACAAATAAGTAGAGACAAGACTGTCAGTTTAGCAGCAAACTACATCAGAGAGCATGTGACTGTCTCCCACAAGTCTAGCACAACAGTAGCAAGCGTGTTGGGTATGTGCATCTCCTGAGCAAGACTGGCTCTTGCAGGCTCTTGTTTATGTCTGCTAGTGCGTGTGCAACCAGACTGAGCACCCATGAAGCGGAGAGGATGCTGCTTTTGAAACTACTATGGGCTCTGCCTCTTCAGAGAAATTTGCATCCTTCCCAAAGCCAGCAAGCTTGGAAACAAAAGCCAGAGTTGATAGAACTGAACTTTACAAGATCTGCTTCACGTTGTTTAAATATCTACAGTCTTTTGTGACCCTAGCTGCTACAGGTTTGGTTGCCTAACCAGTAGGAGTTAGGTGTTGCACCACCCCAAGATAGCAGTAGTTTTCTCCTCCCAGATGGATTGCAGGAACTTTATACAAGGAGCTTTCTACAGCTCCTTGTAGAAAGCTTTAAATATGCTTTCTCTGCATACAGTTCTTGGCTTTCTATTCTTCATGTCTTGGTTTTTGGGAGACCAAGGCTTGCAGATAGGACAAGCCTGACCCCTGCCCTATCAACATGGAGTCCCCCTGCACTGGCTGCTCCTCTAGACTCAAATTATCACTGCCATTGACCTCTGCCAGGCTCTGGAAGCAGGTCTCATTTTTGGTGTTGCAAAATGGCCAACAGTTATGCAGGATGAACTGTGCAATGGGCAGCTAGTATGCCTGGCTATGTTAATTTTACTAGAGCAGATTATCAGTAAGATCCAGGCATTTGGATCCAAATCTTGCACAACATGCTTTCCTCTATTTGATTTCAAGCCCTTGTAACTCATGCTTCCTGCAATGAGGTTTTTTGTGGAAGAGAGCAGAGCGCTACCGTGTAGCTTAGCTGTGTTCTGGTTGCCCACAGTGCTGAAGAAGGTCAAGAGGGATAGATCTGTGTGAACTCTATTGTCTCTCTGGTTTCTAGAGCTGCTGGACCCGAAAATTAGGAACAGGGATATTGAAAAACAGTGTAAATTAATTGATAGTTCTTCTCATCTCTGAAAATGCCCCTCCTGATGACATGAAAGACTTGTCCTCGAGCCTCCTCCTTTCTCTTACTTTGATCATTCTAAACTGAAATTCTTTGTGATTTTTAGAGGTGCAACAAGGACAGAGCTTTGGCTAAAAGCTTGATGACTAAGAGAGATGGAGGCTGCATGCTGAATGCGGGATCGAATCAGTGTTCCTTGATTTTGAGATGTCTAATGCTATTTGGCTGGATAAAATTTCACTTCATGGGCATAATGGGCATTGAAGCTCCTCTTTCTGAGGGGTGCAAAATATGCCTTTTCATCTTTTCTCTCCTCTACGTGGAGTGAGAGGATCCTGGTTGCAGGTTTTCTTCCCCCCTTTCTGCTCTTGGTCCTGCTAGTGGCACTGCAATGTAAGCTTGTTTCTAGGAACCACTGCTGGATATGCCTATGTTTTGCCCTTCAACCCACCATCATGGCATAAGAGAAAACCACATGTTCAAAAAGGCAAAATTATTTACTGATAAATCCTTTTTTCTATTGGAAATGTCATTGCCCATGAGCCTGGGTGATATGCCTCTGATTGCCTGGGGTCTTCTCTTTTCCGATCTTTTGTTTCTTTCTGTCTCGATCTGAAAATCTGTCTCGTGGTGGGAGAAGCAGGGATGGGTTAAATGCAGCTGAGGAGGCCCCTTTGCCCCCCCAGCTCTCAGCAGAGCAGTACACCGAGGGCTCAGCTGCAAGCTGACAAGCAAAATTGCATCAGAGAGAGGAGCAGGAACAAAGTATTTCTGCAGTTTGTCTTTGTTCAGGATGTAGCCTCCTTTTATTTTTTATTTCTTCCTGAGAGCCCTAAAATACTAGGTAGTAGAGCTTACAAAGCTTTTCTTGTTTAGCATATATTGACCCAGCAATTAGGTCAGTTGTCCAAAGACCCTGGCAGGGATGAGGATCCCAAGGTGAGATTTGTACTTTTACTGTAGCTTTTCATAATGCCACCATCTGTCTCTGAAAAGAAAAGAAAAAATATCCAGTCTGCATGCATCAAGATGAAAGTGAAAGTAGGCCTGAATATCACCTTGTTTTCTTTTTCTGTGGAAAGAAAAAAAGTAAACTTACATAATGAGCTATGAGCTCACCAGACCTAGTAAAGAAACATTTTAATGCATGTGAGCATGAAAAATATACATGAAATCTAATGTGCTTAACTGTTAAAGGAGGCTTGAATAGTTTTAGGGGAGGACTTCTCCAGAGTCACTTATTTTGTGTTTAGTAGTCTTGTTTCCTTTTGTCTAGTAAACTCCTTACTTTCTGTCTCTTTTCCTTGTTCTTGGTATGTACATAATTTTATATAGAGCTCAAAATGTGTTTTCCATTCAAAAAAATAACCTTTCGTGGTGTTGTTTAGCTGAAATATACTTAATTTTTTTGGTAACAGGAAGTCAGGACTTTTGAACTGTTTTAATAAAGGAAGCAGAATTTAATGATCATTGCTTAGCAACCTACAATTATCTTTTAGGGAAATTCAGAAATGTTTATTATTGAAAAATCAGCTGTTGTGGAATGGCTTTTGGCAGCAATTTAACAGAGATATGGTCAGCCTATTTTACTGCATTTAGATCAGACTTTATCACAAAAGAATAGAAGAATGTGCTTCCTTCTTAAATGCACATTTTTACTTCAGTAGTCATTAGAGTCCATTCCTGGTATCTTGTTTAAAAACAGACTGATCAAAACATTAATGATCAATAACAATGCTTATATGGAGTATAGCAAATATGGAAATTGCTAAACTTCAGAAAATTTAATGGTGCTTAATATTTGCTGACAAATCTTGCATGATGAATTTCAACTTTAAAAAAGTAATCTTGGATATGGAAATAATAATGTAAGAAAGCTATTATTTTAAAACAAATATCAAAAAGGGAGCTCTTACAGTGAAAGTGGTTAACTGGTTTTTAGCAGCTTTCAAAGTGACAGCAGTGTAACTTATATGCAAAAATCTGTAAATTGTTTAAAAGATGAGTTCAGAATTCTAGTTTTCTTGTAGAATTACTTAACGATCTTTGTGTTTACATGGCAGATACACTGCTTCCCCAGAAAGCATCAGCAAAAAATCCCAGCCTCTCATGAGGTTGCTCATTGCTTCTCATGAAACAATAAATTAAAATTTTTAATCCAGGAAGTAAAGGTTATCCAGTGCTGCTTATAGTTGAATACTGAATTACCTATACCTTTAAGGAAACTATTTTAAAAGTAAACACGTATGAGAGTGCTTATGACTGTTACTAAGCACAGTATTGTGTCACATGTGAAGGTCTGACATCATTATGTCAGGAACACTGCATTCAGCTCTGGAGCCTCCAACACAAGAAGGATGTGGACCTGTTGGAGTGTGTCCAGAGAAGGGCCATGAAAATGATCAGAGGGCTGGAGCGCTTCTCGTATGAAGACAGGCTGAGGGGGATTAGGGTTGTTCAGCCTGAAGAAGAGAAGACTCTGGGGGGACCTTACAGCAACCTTCCAATACCTGAAAGGAGCCTGTAAGAAGGCTGGGGAAGACCTGTTCATAAGGGCATGTAATGATAGGACAAGGGGTAATTGTTTTAAGCTAGAAAAGAGTAGATTTAGGTTGGGCATTAGGGAATATTTCTTTAATGTGGGGGGTTGGTGGATCACTGGAACAGGTTGCCTAGAGAGTGGTGGAGGCTTATCCCTGAAGACATTCAGGGTCAGCCTTGATGGATCTCTGAGGAGTCTTGTTCTAGTGTGAGATGTCCCTGCTTATTGTAGGGGGGTTGGACTAGGTGGCCTTTAGAGGTCTCTTCCAACCCAATACATTCTGTGATTCTATGATTATCCAAAAGCAAATCAACAGAGACAACTTCCATTGCTTTCTAAATTAAGAAATCTGAGAGAAATTATAAGCAACTTTAGGTCTGACATCATTATGTCAGGAACACTGCATTCAGCTCTGGAGCCTCCAACACAAGAAGGATGTGGACCTGTTGGAGTGTGTCCAGAGAAGGGCCATGAAAATGATCAGAGGGCTGGAGCGCTTCTCGTATGAAGACAGGCTGAGGGGGATTAGGGTTGTTCAGCCTGAAGAAGAGAAGACTCTGGGGGGACCTTACAGCAACCTTCCAATACCTGAAAGGAGCCTGTAAGAAGGCTGGGGAAGACCTGTTCATAAGGGCATGTAATGATAGGACAAGGGGTAATTGTTTTAAGCTAGAAAAGAGTAGATTTAGGTTGGGCATTAGGGAATATTTCTTTAATGTGGGGGGTTGGTGGATCACTGGAACAGGTTGCCTAGAGAGTGGTGGAGGCTTATCCCTGAAGACATTCAGGGTCAGCCTTGATGGATCTCTGAGGAGTCTTGTTCTAGTGTGAGATGTCCCTGCTTATTGTAGGGGGGTTGGACTAGGTGGCCTTTAGAGGTCTCTTCCAACCCAATACATTCTGTGATTCTATGATTATCCAAAAGCAAATCAACAGAGACAACTTCCATTGCTTTCTAAATTAAGAAATCTGAGAGAAATTATAAGCAACTTTAAAAAAAAAAAAAAAAGGCAGTCTGGATACACCATCCATCCTGTGTGTGCTGAAAGCCTTTGTCTGTAGTGACTTACTAGATCTCTAGAAGTCCTAGGTAGAGAGGTTAGGAAAGTCCCATCACTGATCTGTTGTTATTTGCCACTGCATAGCTTTCACTCCTACTGTGTTAATTTTAATAACATGTAATTAAAATGTATGTGCTATATGAGAAGGTCGTCAGGGAGCAAACCTTTCTACCCCTTGAGCATATCTCAGCTAATTTCCTTTGTCCTATATTTATAAAGTGGTGATGAGCTGCCAGCTACATGGAGTTGAATAAGCAAGGAAAATTGATTCACTGGAGTGCCAGTTCTCAAAGAACTTCCACAGGAAGTCTATTGGAGCCATTGGAGATAGCCTCAAGTTTGTTCAAGTGCCACAATGTGTCCTACTCCCATCTGACTAAATTTCAGAAACCTCGTTTAAGGCACCCGTCAGAAACAGGGATATTAAATAGGGAATACTTAGCTGTGCTTTCCTTTCATTATATCAAACTTGAGATCAGAGCAGATGATGGGAAGGTGGCTATGTATGTGAGCTGCTGAAAGTCCACAGTTTTCAGAGGAGAAGAATATAATTTAAAAAATTTGCAGAGCACTAAAGCTAGTATATCTACTTTGTGGTCATTTATGGGCTTTATCTCCAGTGCCGCATTTCCTGACCTGGGGAGCAGGAGGATGAAGACAAAAGGCAGAGTGAGTTCTGCCAATTCTATGTTCAGGTGCAAGTACCTTCCTTACAGCAAGGAAGAATACTGCTTTAGACAGGGGGAGTTGTTTCACTAAAGCTAGTTAGACTGCCATGAGTTAGTTACAGAATTACCTTTTCTTTTCATGCACTGGGTCTTGGGTTCCTTTCCCAGATTTCCAATGGGAAAGGTTAGTTATATGTATTTATGGTTAGGAACCCATGTCTCCATTTTGAAATGGTAAATACAGAAATGAGAACAAAACTAACCATTCTCCAATGACATGACAAGCTTAGCTGTTTTGTCAGATCACCTTTCCAGTAGAATATGGGCAAGGGTTTCTGGTTAAGTTGGACAAGAAACATGCCTCATTTTTCTTCTCTCTCTCTCTCTCTCTCTCTTTTTTTTTTGTTTGTTTTGTTTTTGTTTTTGTGGAGGCCTGTTTAATAATGCTTGTATAACTTGAATTGTAGACCACAATTACACTTGCAGAAATATTGTAGACCTTTTCTTATAATGCATTCAGAGAAAGTGAAGCTAAGAACTGGATAATTGCACACCAGATAAAACCAGAGATGGGGTTATCTCCTTGTTACTCCCAGTGATTTGCTCTGAGTTCACAAGTATGTCATTTTACCCAGCTTATTCATCAAATGACACACAAAATTATTGTGTGTGTTGCTTATAAGTATGCTGTGGTATTCTTGAGAAGGTATTATCCTTCCAAAGGCTGTTACTGTATCTTTCTGCTTACAAAGAGTCGAATGATGCACAATATTCATTCTTTCCTCAGATATGGCAGTGTGGAGGAAGTCTTGAAATCCACCCGTGCTCACATGTGGGTCACGTTTTCCCCAAACAAGCTCCATACTCACGATCCAAAGCTCTGGCAAACAGTGTGCGTGCAGCTGAGGTGTGGATGGATGGGTATAAAGAACTTTATTACCACCGAAACCCACATGCTCGCCTGGTGAGTTCAAGTCTGTTGTCCTTGGTATTTCAAAAGAATTTGTTTTCATTGAAATAATTAATAATTTAGCTAATATTTAACACAAAGGTCTCTTAGTGTTTATTTCTTATTTCTTCTTCTGAAGCTTTTTCTCAAACACTGAATAAATGTATATATAATTAATTTTAAATGCCTTGGAAAAAATCAGAAAACCTGTAAGAGTAGGAGGCCACATTTGTGTCAATATTGAATGAATGAATGAAAAAATTAAATAATAAAATTAAGCAAGGTGACCCAAGTAAGCAGGAGCTGTCTAGCCTGAAATGAATGCTTCTGTGAGTCAGCTGATGCATGATTATATCAATAAAGGATTACAGAAGAGATGCACAATTAATGAATGCTAATTGACAAGGTTCAATGAATGGGTAGATCTTTAAGTGAACAGCATGCTAATAGTCTTTAGCAAAATTTACTATCTTGTGCTAATTGCAAAATTTTGGATGGATGTAAGACAAAGTGGATTTTCCTGTTCAGTTTACTGCTGCACAATGTTTGATTAAAAAACAATCCAAAAGCCCCAAATAAGTATTGCAAAGATGAAATTAATTAAAATTAGTCCTTGGAACTCAGATGAAAATGTTTCTAATAGAATATCTGAAGTATCAGTTCTGTTTTGGTTTGGTTCTTTTAAAGTTTATATTTTTGTTTTCCATGAAGAAGAAAATACAAGATCATTTGTTTGCAAAATCTTTCAGGAGATATTCTGAAAGTTGAGTAGGTCAGAACAGTAATGCAGTGTGAAAACTCACAGCTTGGATGTTTTTATCATCAGGGGCCTGTAGACTGAAAGATGGTAACACTGAAATACCCTCAGAGTGTCTAGAAATTACTTGTTTGATCCACTGGCACTGAGTCCCAAAATTCAAGCCTAAAAGGAATCGCTTTCTGCTGTTGCTTGTTGCTGGAGGTGCTTAATCTCACCAGGCACTTCCCTTTGCATGGAAAGTGATCTGAGCACCAGCTCTGGTTTTGTGCATGGGGAGATCTGCCCTACATTGGACTGTTGGGTACCCATCTCTGGCTACAGTGGACCAGAGCTTAGGGACCAGGCAGGGAGACAAGGAGCTCTTCACAAGTTTGAGTGGTCTATTCCAATAGACATGTGTTGGAAAAATTGCTCTTTAAACCATTACGCTTCTAAGGGATACACTGGAGCACACTGGGGAAGCTGAATTTGGTTAGCTTCCATCTTGTGTTCTCTTGGATTAAACTGGATAATTATTACAATCCATGCATTTGTAATAATAATTATTTTACTTTAGCATCATAAAAGCCATTTAGGTTTTAGTATTAGAGGCTGACTTTGAGAGAAATATGGCTTTTGTGTATCCAACAAGTGAAGCTCACAGGCAATGCCAGGCTGATTCTGCTTGTGATATGCAAAGAGAAAATAGCAACACATACTGAACAATTTTTCTTGTGAAGTTCTGGGAAGCTGATGTCTATCATGACAGAACTTTAAAGGACAGTTTTGTGTCACTATCAAATGCTTTGCATATTGGCATATTGTAACACAGTGGATGTAAACTGAGACTCATGGGTTTTGCTGCACAGATAAAACCTGCCACAAATGCACTCTGGTTTCTGTCATTATCTGTCCTCCACTTGTTGCTGCAGTTGAGTTTAGTCCCTTTTACTTCATCTAACCCAAATATTCAGTTCTATGGCATAATGGAAAAATTATGCTATTGCTGTAGATTTTGGTTCTATGAAGTTTCACTTCAAGAACAATGTTCAGACCTCAGAGCTAATATGTTGTGCTGTTTGTTTATTCAATGCTTTGTTTTTTCAGTGATATGTCCACAGCTCTGAGAAATGCAAATATATTTGATGAAAGAGTTTGTTAAATGACCTATAAAAATCTGGGGGCTGCAAACAGTATCTCATGTCTGATTGACTGAAGTCCCTGGTCAGTATAAAAATAGATTTTTTGAAGACATACATAAAAAGATGTGAACTCTGCTCCCATCAATAGACAGGGAAAAGTCAGCAATGAAAGTTTTACTCTGGAGGTTTAAGATTTCATAGTTCCCACCCCCCAAAACTATGAAGTTCAAAGGAGTATTAGCAGATTTTACAAATTTCTTCAGTTAAGTGTAAAACTGGCTGTACAGGTAATTTCCAGTTGGATGGTGAAATAATTTGAAATTCTTTAAAACTCACTCACTGCTTCTGCATATCTTCATTATCCAGCTAAAGAAGTTTTATTTTCCAATACATTTTCTCAGCTCCCAGCAATCTGTATTCAAGGACTTTCTTACTTGTAGATTTGAGGAGGTTTCTCAGACGAACTGTCTTCTACAGTCTTAGAGTTTGATGCACAGCATTCCAATTCTTTTTTGTCAAAACTCAACAAATGTAAGGATAATGAAATAAAATCCAGCACCCAAACATGGAGATTTTTCCTAGCTAGAAGTCCTACCCATCACTTCAGCACACGGTTCCTAATACTGTATGTAGATAATTTAAAAGAGAGCATCTGTTCCGGTTGGAGTTTTTTTCATATTTTTTTTTCTTTTTCCTTTCTTTTTCCTTCTTTCAGGAACCATACGGAGATGTGACAGAAAGGAGACTCCTTCGAGACAAGCTGAAATGTAAAGACTTCAAGTGGTTCTTGGAGAATGTGTACCCAGAGCTTCATGTACCTGAGGACAGACCAGGTTTCTTCGGTATGGTACGTGGCTGCTGAGAAGGGGCCTCCTTGCAGTTCTCTGAGCACCCCTACTAACTCAGTATGAAGGTATTTTTATGCCAGAATCAGCTTGGGATTTTGGTAGAATTCAGTTTAAATTGCTGGAGCTTAAGATGTGATTTCTATCAGAATCTTTGACAAGACACCATTTATGAAGGTGTTCTGTGAAAAGGTGTAGGAGAACAGGTAATGTTGCCATGAATTACACCTTTAACATGACATCTTGGCAGTGTTAAAGGCAGCAAAGAAAGACTTGAAACGTTGCATAGCAAAAAAAAAAAAAAAAGAGAGCACCAAAGTGTTTAAGTTTGTAGTTGTTGACTTGAAAATGGAAAGATTGTCCTTTGAAACGTGTATTTGTACATTTTATCTGATGAAAACTATGATGTTCTGATGATGGGAAAGACGGCTGGTGCGATGTCTTCTCAGATCGTATAGGATTCTGTATGTCAAACAACCATGTTAATTTTTAATCTGGAAGTCACTTCAGATCAGCATGGGTTCACAAGCAATTTTCCAGTTCAACATCAGAATCCTCTTCTTTTTAAGAGCTGACAACTTTCTATGCTATCTGCAGCTTACAAGTAAATATAAACAAGGGCTCCATGTATATCACGTTACTGTAATCTCATTTGGAAAGGATGAAGGTAGAGATGATGCAGCAAATACCTGCTTTCTCTGAAAAATCAGCAGGTATCTGCTGCATGTCTTATTAGGAAGACAAGACTGCACCTTTCTGCCAGGCAATGATGTATAAAATACCTTCCTGATTACCAATGCCACGTTGACTTAGAAGTACTTTTGCTAATAACTCAATCACCCTGCAGATCTAGCTAAACTGCATTCCCACACTGCTGCATCACATCCACCCCTTATCGCAACAGCCTTGTCTTGCTGCCATCTGCACTTCAGTTACTCAGTCTCTGCTGGATCTCCTTCAAGTAGAGGAAAAAAACCTGGTTGCTGTGGGCGTGCAGAATATACAGGAACCAAGTCTCCCCTCAGTAGCTTTGTTGCCTGTTGAACAAAAAAGATCTAAACATGAAAATGCTGCAGTTTTGCACAAGGAGCTCTATTTCCCACAGGGAGCTGTAGGAGCTCCCACAGGGAGCGCATCCCCTGGCAGCAAAGCCCTTAGGAGCCTCAGAGAGAGTAGCCACCCTCCTCCATTTGTCCTGGAGCTTACACTTGATTCAGGATCTCTGAGTGAACACTAGGATGAAAGGTAATAGCCACCATTACCCAGTACCTTTAGCAGACCTCAGTAAAACATTGGTTCATTTTTAGTTATTTAGTGGTGGATCAGTAACGGACAAGGTCAGAGACAGTTAAAGCAGTAAGATGTTACGAGACTAACCTTCCAGAATAATTTTGGTAACATTATCCTCCCTTCCACCTCCACCCTTCATCCTCCAAAAGAAGCCTAGACTGATGGCAGTGATAGTACTTTAGCCTTCTTGGGAGGTGAAGGGATTTGTGCATTTTCTTATTTAACTGCACATCTCGTCCTCCGGAAAGATGTTGACAATACCTAGAGATAATTATTGTTCAGAGCTGCTTGAATTATCTATGTTGTAATTTAGGTGTGCTTTATATATCTCTCTAAACCCAGCTCTTAACCACTGTCATCTAGTTGTGAGCATAATAAGAATAAACCATTTTTTTGGCAGGAAGAATTTAAGATGTGCTTAGAGTACAGCTGTACTAAGAAGGTGGCAGTGCAAAAATGATACCTTCTAATTCAACTGATTTGTGGATATTGAGTCCCCTCTGCTAACTTCAATGACTCATTGGTTGTGTTCTTTACTCCTGCCTTAATCATGAAGTGCTTTTCTGGTTCACAAAAATACTGTGTTCTAAAGTGTCAGCTTTGCTAACAGCTTGGCTTAGTTTGAGATGATTTAATTCTTCAAGGAGATTGCAAAGAGATACAGGGATTCCTCCATCCCTTGAAAATCTTATATCAAAGTTGAAAAATGGAACATCAGTGATAGGTCCACAATATGTTATTGGAAAAAACGCAAGAATTATCGGGCAGCACTTAATGCCATGCACTGGCTGCTAATTTTTTTCTCCTGATACATAGTACGGACAGTAAAAATTTATCTAAGCTTGGCTGTCTAAAAGGTTAGCTGCCTAAACATTTATTTAAAGATTCAGAATTCTGAATATTTTTGCCTGAGCTGTGTTTGCATTCATATAAACTGCCTTAGGCCTAGAAATGAGGGAAATACATCTTACTAGTAAAATTAGTACACTTTATACCAAAATCATATAACATCAATAAATCTGGAATGCCACAGCTAATTTCTCTCAGTACTTTGAACAATATCATACCTTGAGAAGGAGTATTATCAATATTGCAAATGTTCTAATTCATAAAATATTTTTTAACATAAGTCAAATTTTTCTATTAAAGTTCCAGTACTGGAACAGTGGAGTGAAGTTCAAAACATAAAAGTTCAAACATTAAGGCTACAAAGGCCATAAGGATGTGAAATTTTGGAAAATATTTCAATTGCTGTATGAGATAGCAGCATTTGATAGAAAGATAACTGGATGGTCAACTTAAAAAATAAATTGCCAGACCTGCAAAGGCTGTTCTTTTTTTTGCGTAGCGTATTTGTAGGGGCAAACCCTAAGTCTCTATTCATGAGGCCACATGATGTTCTGATAGGAGTTTTTCTTTGTTCTTCTCAAACAGTCTGTAGCTGATCTTTCTTGCAGCTGAAGGTGAAGAACCTAAGCTGACAGATGCCTCTTGTGTCTGTTTAGCCAATGGTTCTTTTTACTACCTTAAAGCTGTCTGCAGCTGACTGAATCAGTTGGGTGACCAAAAACTTGTGTTGTTCTGTTGACGGATTCCTTCCATATTTTTTGCTAAGTCCATCTCATCTTCAGTGAATTTCTACATGCTTAGTCAGAATTTTATTTTAATTTAGACTAGATACAACCTTAAAAATAATCAGGAAGAAATATTTTAAGCCTTTCAATCAATGAAGAATTTTGTTTTACTGTGCCATGAGAGAGACCATTTTGTAAGTTATCTAAATAACCAAAGATACGTATGGACAGACTTACAGAATAAGAGATCTTAACCATATGGCTAAAGTTATGTAATCAGAAAGACTATTGCATGTCTGGTGTTACAAGTTCTCAGAGGTATCAGGCTTCAAAACAGCCTCCTCTAGGGTCTACTTGAAAAACTGTGTTATAATACAATTTGTAATGCTGTCAGTTGAGATGGAATTGGTACCCAAGATTGTCTGACTAGTCCTGGAGATCTGATGCCTGCAACAGGAAAGCTTGAGACAAAAGTTTTTAAAGAAAGTGGGAGAAAATCAAGTGTTTGATATTAATCTTAAGTGAAACACTGTCACTTGAGACCTGCTTGTATGTTCTTGAGCCTTCTAGAGAGATCTGAACTTTCTGGAGTGAGCAACTGAATTCCAACAGCAGTGTCTCATAATTGGCTACTTCCAAGGATTCTCGTCATCAACTTGCATACCTATTTCAGCATTGCTTTTAAGAAGTTAACAGAAATCTGAAGATAATAATAATCTTTTTTTCCAAAAAAGGGTGATATGAAAATGGCATACACTCAATAAAATCATTCCCTGTGTCTGCTTGGATTACCACTGAGGTAAAAGGTTACACCTGAAGCTGTTGTCTTGCTAGGAATTCACATCTTGCTATGTCCCCCAGTATCATCTGTCCATACCACTAATGCATCAGCCCCAGTGCCACTGTGGTGGAATAAAGAGGATTCTGATCTACTTTATGGATGAAGAGAAAGGTTGGCTGTGCTCCACTGGCTGTATTTACCGCTAATGTAATGAAGTTTTAATGTCAAAAATCTGTTGTTGATGCTTTGCTTGTTGTTATATGAAATAGATTTTATCTTTAAAAACCCCCAAACCTAAGAATTATTTTCAGAATACCATCTGTGTTGTAGTGTTATATGCAAGTGTCCAGAGGTTAGGAAACAACAGACTTACATTTCTCCAAGCAATAAGGGATAAAGGTCTGAGGTGAATATCTCAGTAGTTACTGTTTATTACTTGTCCCAAATAGAGTAAATAACATGCTAAGTGGCACTGTCAAATACACCTGAAACGTTTCAATAGGTGGCAAAGATTGTAGAAAGATGCAGCCAGTAATCCTGCATAGGCAAAACTTACTACAGCTGAACTGTGTGTTGTAATGGCAATGTGATCAACTTTTTTTCTTACTTCTGTTTCTCTAATGCAGCATTCTGCAAAAGAATTAAGGTAAGTCATGGAGAAAATTTTGTTCTTGCATGACTTGTTTGTGGTGTATATGGGAACAAAGATAGCTTCAGAAATGAATGAATTATTACTGTTTTGATAGAGCTTGTTGCATGTAAAAGGAATTTAAACAGTGTATTCTCATTTAACAAGAGAAAAATATTACTTTCACAAATTCTCTCATACATTATTCTTCCTTGGAACAGAGGGCAGATTTTATTATTTTTTTTAAGTGATGCTGCAATCAGATTTGAAAATCTGATTATTTTCAATTCTTTGTCATTTCAGATCAGGTCATTTAAAAGCTCAGTATGCACTATTCCCACAAATTAGGCCTTCAATATCTGTTAGGCTTCCAAATGAACTAGGGGTATAAAATAATGTCTACCAATATCTGATAAAACATACTAAAATAATCCAGGTTGAAATATGGACCATGTATGTTTAGGAATATGTCTGCATGTATCACAACTGTTTATGCATGAAAGAGAAAAATGAGAAAACATGTGGTAGCAACCTGGGAGTGAGTACAGGCTCAGTTTTAAGTTATCTGAAATGAAGCTTAAATTAGTAATCTTTTACACAACGTTTGTTTTGATTTCTCTATTTGGGCATTGTGTAACATGTGTGAGAGAGTTAGAGTAGTTCTGGTGCTGCATGGCATTTTAAAATAGGTTATTTGAAATTCCAGAACACAAAAGACCGCATGTGCTTGAGCATGTGCTGTGGCCTGACAGTGAAAAGCTCACACTTGGAGCAATAGTGAAGGTGTTGGGTTTCCTGGAAGGGCACCACAGATAAGGGCTTTGCTGCGTTTGTCTTCCCTTGGAGCCAGTAGACAGTCAGGCAAAGTCAGGCATTGTTGAACATACTAATGAGAGACCCTCTGATCCTGAGGACAACCACTGACAACAACCAAAACCAGTTCGTGTTTTTAGAGATACAATTACCATTTCTAAGTGGTTATGACTTTAAGTTGATATTTCTTGATGTAGAATGTAGAAACATGAGAAGGTTGTTGTTTGGCTTATGTTGTTCCATTAAAAATAATCTCTAAAAGACACTCTTCTTTCCTGTTTTTGTAATTCTAATTCTTACCTAGCCTTATGAAGATAAGCAAAGTGTCCTCTTTTGGCAGATAGAGGAGGGGTGCAGAGGTCTCGTTGTTTCCATCAAACCAAGCAGTGCTTTCTGTAGAAAGGGTACCCAGGGGGTTTGTTTTGCTTCTGGTAAACTTAGGCACTAAAAACTAAGAATTAATGTTATCATACAGCAAATTCAGATGTTAGCTTATCCTGAACTGAAAAACTACACCAAATGCATAGTGAATATATATATTCAGAGAGGAATTAAGAGGCAAAGCCTGTGAGGGTAGGGCTTCAAGCCCTATGTTTATACATTTGGCTCTGACAGGAGAGCCTCACAGCCCCAGCAGCCCTGCAAAGGGCCCCAAGCTATGGCAGCTTGGTGGTTCTCCCCAGCCCCCAGTGTATTGCTGTTGCCTTGGGCTGGCAGCCCAGGCATGCAGAGTGCTGAGGGCTTGGCTGTCTTTCAGTGGGAGTAGGCAAAAAGCAATGGAAAGAAGACGTCAGGTAGCAATAAAAGTAGAAGTTGGGAAAGCAAAATATATTAGAACACAAGTATTTAATTTTCCAACTTGTGTGGTTTGCTCTGTGGTGGGTTTGGGTCCTGCAGCGTTTATCTTGTTTGGCTTTAGCTTTCTGTAATCCTTTAACGTCCGCTCGTTCTCCGCATTAAGAACTGAGGATACAAGTATCACAAGGAGGGAGACGCAGTGAAATTACACTTTGTTGAAGTAACTCTCTGAGATTGCTTATTCTGTCTGTGATGCAAGTACACTTGGTAACAGGGGCATTCAGCTTGAACATATGTTTACAGAACCTGTTTTGCTGTGTGTAATTTTAAATTTGGTAAAGTGGCTAATACTAGGACTCAGTAATTGTTAAGGCATTGTTTAACTTACTTCCAGTTACTTTTGCTTCCTGAATACTTCAGTGCAAATCCTTGTTAATTAGCCAAATATTTTTAAAATCAGATAACTTAATCCTTTAAAACTAATCTAAAAGTTATGGACCTATTGTGTCAGAAATCAGCAACACTAGAAAAGAAAGTTTAATATCATACCTAGTGTCACTTTCAAAAGATTTATCTGACCTATTTTCACGATTTTTGGTCTTAAAATTTGTCTGCTTGCTCAGCCTCAAGAGAGTACTCTTTTTGAGAACAAATCCTTCTAACATCTCCCATTTGACAAACTGAGAAAAGTATGTAGTCTTCTTTTCATAAGGACACGCAGATCCTGAGGGGGGAAAAAAAGACATAGCAGACTTCTGTTCTGCATGAGTTGCTGGCTTATTTGATTTCAACACAGCTTTTCATAGTTCCTACCTACTTCATTTGCAAATATGTGGTGTCGTTCCTTGGGGAAGCCACTGTATCTGGCTGCTTTGATGCCCGAAGTCAAGATGGTCCAAGCAGTTCCATTTCACTTTAGTCAGAGAGATGTTGCCATTTGATTAATTTGATCTATTCCAGTTAATTTGCACCAGTTCTGCGATGTAAACCTCACAGCCCAGCAGGATGGGTGTAAAGTGACTACAGCATATCTTTCAATTAATGTTTTAGATTAATGTTTTAAAATATTCTCTTTTTTTTTCTTTTTCTTTTTTTTTCCCCCCTTTTCTTAATTAGCTGAAGAATAGAGGAATGGCAAACTTCTGTTTTGATTATAACCCTACAAATGAACATCAAGTAACTGGACAGAGGGTCATACTGTACCCATGTCATGGTATGGGACAAAATCAGGTAAGATTCATGTTTTATTTTCACTTTGACTAACACTATCATTATAATGTAGAAAAGTGTGGTAAAGGCATTGCAGTAGGGCTGAGAGAGTATGTTGCCACAGCAAAGTGATCTTAGGTCTAATTTTTATTCTTGCACTGAATGCTTTTAATTTTGATTTGCCTTCAAGTTAGATTTTCTTCATTCTGAAGATGTGTCTACCCAGAACAGGGAACTCATACATACCTTAATTATGCCTTTCCATGGAGCTCATTAGCAGAGGTTAATAGCAGAGAAGTGCAGCTACAGCACTTGGAGGCCAGTGTTTGCTCATCACCAGCTGGCCTTGAGCAGACCAGCACATCTATGAGTTTTTGTCTGTCCATGTCTCCAAAGCCCTTAATAACATTGCAAACCTCACCTAGTTCTGCCTGTGTCTGTCATCATTCCTCTTCATCCTTGTCTAACTGCGCAAAAGTTTCTGGATGGCATCTTCCCCTGTGCTCCGCTATACAGAAGTATTCTCCTGGGCTCTGGCTCTGGAGTACTGGAGAGCAGGTATCCCCTCTAACACACTCGTTCTTGCTCCTTGGTTTTAACTTCTGATGCTGAAAATGCTTGCTTCTGTCTTTCTCTGTGCTGATTGAAGCTGTGTGCAGCAGTGGTCAGTTATGGTACCCACAGAGCTCTCTGCATGAGGCTGTGGTAGAGGTGTTGTGGGGCACCGTGTGCCAATCTACAAAGACTGTTTTCCATGGTTTGGAGTGGCCACCTTCTGGAATTGAGGTTTGGTATTTGATGTGGGGCATGTAATATTTACTTGCCTATCTAGCTTCATTTTCAGCTTCTAACCCAGATTAGACCATATGGCATGCTTTTAGTGGGGAAGGGTGGAGAAATATGTAGAGACTTGTTGAGACTAAGTACATAAGCATTTACAGTTTTGATGGCTTGACTGTTTGGGTTTTTTTAAGGAAATTAATCCAAACATTCAGTTAGAAAAGGAAAAACAAGTATGGAAAAGAACCAGAGATGTGGCAGATAATCAGTGTATCCGTTATCTTTCTGAACTCTGCTTTAAAAAAATACAAAAGCTCAAGGAGTGAAAAACAAGTCTGTATTGAGGAGAGAGTTTCTAATATGAATTACATTGTAAATGAGAAAAGGAGACCAAACAGTCTGAGCACTATGCCTCAGATTTTAAATTGAAGTAGATTTGTTTCTGATAGCAATTTTACTGCCCTAAGTATTAGAACTATTATTTAGTATTTTTTATTAGATTATGCCTGGTTTATGTCGTAACTTTCCTAATGCAGACCTGAGTAATGTGCTCTAGGCAATCCTGCATTAGTGGGGGAGTTGGACTAGATGATCTCTAGAGGTCCCTTCGAACTCTGATAATTCTGTGATTCCACGATTCTGTGTTTCTGTCCTGGAGGCCAAGATGGTAGGAGAGGGCAGGAGGAGAATCTTGTGTCATAAAAGCCAGTACTGACAGATGTATGTTAAGCATGTTAAGCCACACAACACCAAGCAATTTTACTCCCTCAGTTCAGCTCCATGCCCAAGTTAAGCATACTTCTGTACACCTAATTGATAACGTAGTTAAGCCACTTCCTTATGAGAAAGAGTTGATTCTTTTGCCAATTAAGAAGTATTTAATATATGAGATTACGTGGTCACACACAAAAAGTATTTATAGGTTATTTTTTTTTCCTTTGATTACAGATTAGAGAGGAGAGAGGTTGAATCTTCTTTGTCTTTCTCTGAGCAAAAAAATTTATTTAAATTTTATCCCTTCCACCAAGAACAAATAAAGGTGTAGGATTAAAGGTGAAGGCCAGAGAAGTACAATTCAGAGATGAATTGTTGAGAGATGACATTTTTACAGTTATCCTTTGTTTAGCTAGCACTAAAAGATTAACTGAATTTACTGCCAAGTTATCACATCACTGGATATTAATGCTCTCACTTCTCTGCTACTGATGTGTTGCCTCTGCATGGCTGTGATAGCAAGCAGCAGACCAGGAGCAGCAATGCTCTGAGAGCTGTGCAATTCGTGCTCCCTCTGCTGGTATCCAGGGAGCCGGAGAAACATCCTGACTGCAAATAAACAGAAAAAAGAAAATATAAGATGACACAAGGCAATTGCAGAGCCTGAGGAAGGAATGCCAAACACAGAAAATAGGCAAAAACAGTATTAGCGAAATGGGCAAAAGACATGGGAGGGAGCTGACAGGAGCCAGATGTAGGAAGGAGTACGTAGGAGGTACAGGGAGACAGCGTGAAAAAAAGCAGAATCACTGGAGACCCCTTTAATGGAAAGGGGCAGGGGGACTGAATGTGGGAGCAAGAGACACCAGTTGGCAAATGGGGGCATGAGCAGGGGTGACAGGTAATAGTTGCAAGAGACGAAGTGGACAGCAGGAAGAGCTCTGGGTGGGGGAACAGAGGGAGCGTAAAACAAGATATGAAAGTGAGATGGGATATGGAAATCAGGATTGCTGAACTTGTACCACCTTATTCTGGCTCACAAATAGCTGTGAAACCTACTAGCAGCAAGTTTCTCTCCATTTCCTTCCTGTGCCCATACCCTTTTGACAGTCATTCTTAAAAGATAACAGGATGCTTCTGGTGGTGTGAATTCCTTAGCTCAGTTGGCAGTTGACAGTGTCAGGACTAGAACAGTCAAATCTCCCACATGTACATCGACTGCTGTCAGCTAATGGAACTGATAGTGACAAGGTTGGTCATCCTCTAGTTGTATCAACATTGAAGAGAGCACAGTACTTCACCACAGAATTTCACAGATGTTTACTGACAATAGGAAGCCCTTAACTTCTGTTTTTCCCTTGGAAGGGAACCTGCTATCCTAATCCCAGGCTGTTTCTTCTGCCTGCTCTCCTTTGGTCTGTTCTTGTCACTCTAGTCATTCTTTAATACCTTTCTTTTGTCTCTCCCCTCATGTATTACTCCCACCAGTTAATAACCATGGAAGGTCATGTTTTCTTCCTTTTTCACGTGCTTTTTTTCTTTCCTGATTAGCTTCCATTTTTAATCTGTAAGTCTTCTTATCCCTTCACCCAGTTGCTGAGTTTGTTCCACCATTCATCACTTTCTTCCTCAAATACTGTTCCATGCTGCACATTCACACTGTCCCATGGTAGAAAGGAATTCTCCAGTATACAGCTCAGTGAAGTTATTCTCCAAAAACATCTTGGTAGGATTTAACATTAATAAAAATTAACTTGGTCAGCCATATGTGTCTTACACTCCAATACACCCACCCTCTGGCATGATATGCCAGTAGCAGGTGGCTGCTTATGTAGGGGACAACTGCAAAAGCTGTTCTCACTGGAAGCAATTCTCCACTTAAAGTGACCTCTGAATATCTGTGTGCACTGTGCCAAGATGAGAGAGCTCCTTACTCTTGATTATTTATGAAGTCCAGCACCTGCCTTATTAAGTAAAACCACTCTCAGAAAACTGAGGTCACTGGTAAGTTGTTCCTATTTTTCCTCGAATCCACAGCATGAGAGGTTTCCCTTTAGTCCTTCTGAACTGCTGTCATGTAAGCAGTAAGAAAGCTAATAGTGGTTTGTTTAAAATTAGTGTCTTCATTATAGCAAGAAGGTGAAGATATGACTTTGGTGATATAAGCTGAGTGTATATGGAAGAGAGGCAGAAAATACACAAAGCACTGCTTGCACCTCAGGCTGCTGATGTTGTGGCAGTGTCTCCTCCAGTAGACTAGAATGAAAGCCTTTGAATTCAACACTAATAAAGCCCATTGTCCTTCTTGGTATGGTGGGGCATATCCCATATGTTGCTCAGAAGGGGTAGGCATTGGGTAAAAGACGTCATCAAGTTTCTTAGTCGCACTTAATGGAATCTACTTGTTCTCTGAAGGAGAGAAATGCTGTAAGGCTGCTAATTACTGGGCCATGGATCAGTTTGAAAATGCTTCCTTTCTGCCCACACAATGTACTGGGCAAGGAAAGAGCACTAAAAAACACTAAAGCATTTGAGGAGGAAGAGACTTACCTCATGTATTATTGGAGCTTGAAAAAGCCTGAAGCCTGAGTTCTTTATTCCATTTGAAACAGTATAGGGTAAAGAACTGTAATTAATTGGGCAAGGAGGTAGGAGTGCTTAGTTGCTAATACTATAACCCAAATCCTTAGTGTTTTCCAGAAATTAACCATTTTACCTGCTCTTCTCCAAATTATGATTCAAATCCTCAAGAGGCTATTCAGGAAAGATGTTAGTAGTAAGGAGTGCTCTAACCTAGTAGCTGCTCCATCTACTCTTGATGCATCTGCTGCAACCAGCTGCTTGCAGGCTTTCACTGATACTGAATACAAATTGTTAAAAAGAGTTATTATGTCATATAAACACACTCATGAGCAAGTCTCTAAATCTGGCCTTGTAAAAGTGGCAGCTGTAAGAAAAGTGCCCATCCAGACACAGATCAGCACGAATGAAGTTTTTCTTTAATCACAAGTCATAGGCTTCAATGAGTGCCCTTCCAGCTTGCTGTGGTGCCCAAAGAGGCAGGATTTCCATGTGCCAGTCATATGGAACCTGGGAACTAAAGTCTGAAGGCCAAGGAAAAAGAATAATAAAATGCCTGCTGTGGTAAAAAAAATTATATAATTAAAAAATTATATATATATAAATATATATGTATATATAAATAAAGAAATTGGGGCAATATTATCACATTTTACTTTTGTTGATGATGAGAAATTTCTGGCATAAAACAGATGTTATAAAGGTAGCACAGCCGACATCATAGGAACAGACCTAGCAATAGGTTTCCAGAGGAAATCAGAGTCTCCTGGATGTTACATCAGCAGGTAGACTTCAGTCTTAAAGTTGCTTTCTTGAAACACTCGCTTCCCTCTGTGGCTTACCACAAATGAAAGATGGCAAACAGGTTAGTTCTGGGGGTATGGAAGGGTCACTCGCATCACTGCCCAAAGAAAAGCCACTGAGCTCCACAAGCTGACACAGTGGACAACATTGGTCTGTGTACAGCTGTGACAGGCACTTTGGCAGAGAAATTCCTGATTGTGATAAAGGAAGGGCAGAGGAGATGTCATGAAACAATTGCCATCACCATAGATCAGAACTCTGACACCTGGAAATAGATGCCTGCAGACTTAGTAATTCCTCTTTACGTTAAAACTCATTTCCAGATTTTCTTTCAAGGTCAATTAGCCTTGGTGGTTGCTGAGGATGTTTTTGTGGTAAATTCAAGCATATGAAACATTTCTGAATTGGTACAGCCCCCTTCATGAAGTCTTACGGTCTCTTTCTCTAGGGGTGAAACAAAACAAAGGAGGATTCTTTATGTCCCTCATCCTTTTATTTCTTTCCACTAATGCAGCTATGCTTTTGGTAACAAGCAATTTTCTGATGTGTATAAAACTCTCTTCTGTCCTACTGAGTATAGTCTAAATCAGATCTAAACTCACATCTGTGCACTATGGTAATATAAATTATTTACAAGCGTGCTAGCTACAAGCAACTCTCAAACTCTGTGGCTCTTTGATGAAGTTCAAAATTTGGCAAGTGTCCATGATAAACATAACAATATTAAGGAAGATTTTAGCTGTAATTGCTACAAAAGCCAAGATGTTTTAGAGTATTTTCAGAACACCCCTGTAGAATACTGTACGACAAGCAAAGCCAGTAAGTTGTTTTGAATATGAAGTTCTGTTCATGTGTAAAAGCAGCTGTAGCTGATTTAATCCCAATAATATCTTAAAATCTTGCACAGTAAGATGCTTATCACCACACATTCCGAGTACTTTGACCAAACTGCATTTGAACTGTGCAGTGAGCAACTCCTTAATTAAAGTAACTTTGTTTTATGGCAACTGAATTAAGAAGGTGTAATGTCAGGCTATAAAACTAGTGTCCATCCTATTTTTAAGGGTGATCTAGAATGCGACGTAGAACATTACAGTAAAAATTTTAAGTTCTTTAATGCTAGACCATCTGTTTTCCAGGGCATTTATTCAACATTTCATACATTTTAAGTGCTACCAGAGTAGGGCAGTGCTGTGGTGAGATTGATTTTCTGTAAAACAGTAAGCAAACAGTAGCAGTTAAAGCTGCTTGAATATTTTTGGCAGAATTTCTCTATACAATAGCAACTTTAATGATAGTATATCCTCCTTACAAGTACTTTCTTGTGTGTATATAAAATGGTTATTTTCCTTTCTTATTTCTTTTGGATTTGTAGTTTTTCGAGTACACATCCCATAACGAAATCCGTTACAACACCCGACAGCCAGAAGTCTGTGCAGCAGTTGATTCAGGGACTGACTACTTGACAATGTACTTGTGTCAAGAAAATGCCCACAGTGTTCCTGAAAACCAGAAGTTTATTTTCAGAGAGGTAAGTGGGTTTGGTTTTTTGGGAGTTGGAAGAGAAATGTTGAGGTTTTGGGGGGAGAGAGTGGATAGGAAGAGAATTATTGGGTATTTTTCTTCTTGTCTTTCTGGCTACACATCACGCAGACACAACATCAGGACAAATCTCTGGGAGAAATATGCTGTCTTGGCTTTTAATATCTGAACATGGAACAGGGTAGCAGCAGTGTGTGGGTAAAGAGTACACCAGTCTAAAAAATAGGAAAACAGGAAGGAAGGAAAGTGCCCTTCTTAACCTCAAAGGAGTTGGAAGGTTGCCAGAGCTCTCTCTTTGCCCTGTCCATATCTAGAGCTTTCCACATACTGCTCAGTTCTTTCTCACATACCACCCCTGTTGCCTTGTGAGAACTGAGGTGCCTTCATACCCTTTCCTCAGCATGTCTTGTGGCTGACCTGCTTTTGCTGTCCTTTCACTGGCTTTTTTTATTTACTGATTTCATATCACCCTGTATCCCTGATACTTCACAAACCACCATTACTTTACAATCTGCTGTGCTTTTGAGCACCTGCTGTTTCTCCTCTATAAACCACCTTTCTTGACCTTCCCTGTGAGCACCAGAAGTCCTCCCTGAGCTTTTCTGCAGTGTAATGTGCAGTTGTGTAATTTGATGCACCATGATCAGCTGCCCAGCGGAAAAGGACCTGGGGGTATTGAGCCAGGTGAATATAAGCCAGCAGTGTGCCCAAGTGGCCAAGAAAGCCAATGGCATCCTGGCTTGTATCAAATAGTGTGGCCAGCAGGACTAGGGGAGTGATTGTCACCCCGTACTTGGCACTGGTTAGGCTGCACCTCAAGTACTGTGTTCAGTTTTGTGTCTTCCCCCCACCCAACAAGGACATTGAGGTGCTGGAGTGAGTCTAGAGAAGAGCAACAAAGCTGGTGAAGAGTCTGGAACAAAATCTTAGGAGGAGCAGATGAGAGAACTGGAGAAACTGGTTGTTTACTCTGGAGAAAAAGAGGCTGAAGGTGAAACCTTATTGCTCTCTACAGCTACCTGTAGCAAGGTGAGGGCCAGTCTTTTCTCCCTAGTAACAAGTGATAGGACAAGAGGAAGTGGCCTCAAGTTGCACCATGGGAGGTTTAGAATGGGTATTGGGACAACCTTTTCAGTAAAGAAATTTTTCCGGCACTGGAACAGGCAGTAGAGTCACCATCCCTGGAGGTGTTTAAAATACATGTAGACACATTTTACTGGCTGTGAGGTCTAGGCAAATCATTATGTCTCTTCTTAAAGCTTAATGCCAACTCCCAGGGGGCAGAAATATTGAGAAGCATGAAATATATTAATAAACAGAGCATGTGATCTTAGAAAACCTTGTGTTTAGTAGTTTTTAGTCTCTGAAGCAGTTCCTGGGTGCCTAAGAGAAAATAGATTTGATGAAAAATGATGGCCTTGGTCAGGTTCTGGAGTGTTATTATTTGGCTAACGGAAAAGGTCACATAATATATCAAAATGGTATATTTACATAACGTGACTACATAACACATCTAAACTTTACAGGCTCCATAGTTGACAAATTTCATGCTAAGATATTACCACCAGTGATAGATGGCAGGTAAATTCTGAAGAAAAATATGAAAACTACTGCCCATTCACTAAATCTAGTCCAGCCTGAAGCTCAAAGTGATATTACTGAATAACAGAAAATATTTAAAGTGCTGACTTTATAAATGACATTTCATTTTCAATGCTGCCTTAAATATTTTTTTTTGAGGTCATACACATTAATTCCTAAGATGATGTACATTGAATGAACCTCAGTCACTTCAGGAAATATTTAAGAAAACACAGTTTTGGAATGCATCTGTTTCCACTGCATTCCTAACCATTAACTTTAAAAATAATTCATAATGTTTCAGATGCTAAATACTCTTTATCATAATCAGTTTGTCTGCATAGGATTTGAATGTACTGCTTTGCCCCAATTCCTCTTTTTCTATCGCATTAAATCAAAATCACTAGTCCCCATTTTTCAATGCAAGCGATGAGTAAGGCGTCAGTATCTCATTTCTCTTGCTTTGTGTGGAGAAGTGTCAGACACTGGAAAAATTGTCCTTATGGATGTAGAATAATCAAAGATTTGAAGAGCCTTCCCATCAGCCTGGCAAGAATAAAGTTCTTATAGTCACTGTGTCAAAACTGAGTGAGACAGATATTGATTAGTCCACTCTACATTTTGAGTTACCAAAATGGAAACAGGAAAGTCCTTCAGCAGCTAAGTCTGTCAGCACGCCCAAGAGCAAGGCACTGCTGGGCATCAGGAGCAATTAGTGTGACATTGCTGATGAGGGAAGTGCAGGCTTTCAGAGGAGTCAGGCTTATGGTCAGAAGCAGGGTGTTGGTGTTCTTCTTTTGAGGCTGTCACAGGCTTTGGAGATGGTTGTGTTTGGGAATGTCCCCTCGGAAGGAAGTGTCTTGGGGGAGGGCAGTTCTCCACAATTGGACATGCTGCCATTGTGCAGCTTGCCATCTTAGTTGACAGCACTCCAGGATTGGAGCAAGCGATGTGAACTGAAGAGAAAATGTTTCTGGAGACTCCTGAAATAGGAGGGCCTGAGGCCTCAAAATATATGTCCTCTGGGGATTCTGATTGTGGAGGCTGTGAGACCTTATATCTCCAAGGCAGCTGTGCTTCCCTCCAGCAAAGCAAGCTAATTCCCCTCAGGTCTGCAGGCAAGAGGCACACTTAGATTATTTTGCCCTTTCCACTCAAAATACACTTCTTTGAAGAAAGGAGAATTTATTTTTTTTTTTTGCTAAAAATACATCCAACATCTGTACTTAAACTAACTAACTTTACATTTTATGTGTAGTAAGTTGGTGAATTTGAGTAATGCCCATATTTGGCTTTGGTTTTCTCTGGAAGTAACAAAAGGCAATGAAAATTAATGAAGTTAGCACATCCTTTACAAGCGTGAATCACTCTAAAGCAGTGCTAATGTAGGTTTAAAAGTGGGGTCTTCTGATCAAGTTTCAGAGATCCTAAAGTTAGGAGTTTTTGCTTCACTGAATGGCCCGAAGAGAAGGAGGTGTGTGGTATTTGTTACAAATGCCTTCTATTATTTTTAAAACACGGTGATATGCTTATAATTTTTAAGGCATGAAAAGCAAAAATCATTTCTGTCTTTTTTAGGATGGTACTTTGTTTCATCTGCACACCCAGAAGTGTGTCCAAGCAGAGTCAAAGGCTTACAATGGTAACCCAGCACCGTTACTACGACCGTGCACCAACTCAGACTACCAAAAATGGTTCTTCAAAGAACGAAGTTGATCCACACGTCAGCTAGGATATAGATGAATATATATATATGTTCTCTTTCTAGTTGGCCTTTGGAAAATCACATGAGTGATATATTTTTATATGGAAAGAACTGTAATTAGTTTACAAGCCTTGAATGTTGTTTTCTGGAGCATTAAATGGCACTAAGCATTGAGAGCCACATAAAGTAAGTGCTGTGGTTATGTCATGCCACAGATCCTGCTCCTTTTCTTTATTTGGCAGCTATATAACTGCTTCTGAAGTGTCTTAGGTTCTTTTCACAGGTGACAATATATTTTTTTAATCTACTGTGTGAAAGTAAGGCAGTCAAAATTATTGCACTAATGTTATCTGCCAATAACTTAAAATGTTTATTTTTCTACTAAAATATTATGCGGTTGGGCCGTTTAACAGATAGTAGCTGTTCATTTTTCTTGTCTCTTAAATACCGAGAAGGTAAGTGTAGGCCAGATTCTGCCTTAAGTGACTATCACATACCCTCACTGAAGACAGTGTGGAGTTGCACATGAAGACAGAGTAGGTCTGCCGTGTTTTTGCACAGATAACAATCTAGATGCATACAGATTGCACATGCTTGTTAAAACTATCTTTGAAATGTTGCAACAATTTTAGATGTTCCTGGCACTTGATGAGTCTCTAATCATGCTAAAGTCTGGTTTTGATGTAAAATGGGGATTCTCTCATCTCTCTTAAAGAAACAAGGTAACAATATTTAAAGTTAGTCATCTGGGAAAACCTATCTAGACTCACACAGATCTAGGTATGAATCTGTGTCCCAGACTGGACAATGTATTCTAACATCATAGATTTTCAACATGCATAAAACTTGCAAAATCAGACCTAGCAATCATTCTTTTGACAAATTTCAAAATTGTAAGAAATTATATTTTCCGTTAACTTGTTAATGTTTAAACAGGTAATATAAAAATGATTGTATAAACAAAAATGGTTTTGCAACTAATAGGTATGGTATGCAGCTGATATTAATACAAAAATAATTGTCTTTCAAATTTAACTTAGATTTTGTTTGGGAACTCCTTTTCTAATAAGTTGTTCATGTCAGCACATATAGTCCTATTGAAGACATGGGGTTTAATCTGCACCTGTACAAGATGTTTTCTGCTGTTGTGTTTAGAATCTGCCTTACCCGGTCAGACAAGTCTTGTGTATAGTAATGTATTTGGTCATCAACCATGATCATTATAATGTTGATTAAAAGGGTTTCAGTTCATAAGGGAAGGTTCTTTCTGTTATCAGATAGAGTTATGTATAGAAACATGAAGATTTCAATATTTTTACCTCAGAAATCATGGCATCTGTTCCATTAAGTTTTGGATTTCTACCATTATTTGCCATTGTTCAGCAAAAATGTACAGCCCTTTATTTGATTCATCATAAGTTTATGTAATTTTTCCATATCTATTTATATGATTAGGGTGTGGGGGGAGGGTTTCTGCCTGTAAGAGATGCATATGTAGCTTCTTCCAAGGTCTTTCTAGATCCACGTAGATGGAAAGTTTTTTGCGAGCACCTTTAAAGTTTTGTCTCTGTGGGCTGGACTGATAAAATTGGAGTTAATAAAATATTTTGTGATTCAGTAGGGTGGGAATTGTCTTTGCAACTATGGGATTTTTTTCCTCTGGTCACTGGTTTTCTTTTATTTTTTTCACTGGTCTCTTAGGCTTTGATCCTTGCAGCACCTGGGAGAAGACACCTGTGTTTTATGGTCTCTCAGGTTTCCTTTGCTGAACTTGTAAATGCTTCAGTTCACCTGTTAGCAACAGTGGTGTGCACTTTGTGTAACCACAAATCAAATCTGGGTGGTGGCATGAGAGAACTGTGACAGCTCCAGCAACACTGCAGGGTTTTTCTGTTCATTTCTGCTCTGCCTATTTGACTGTTGATTGAATTACATTAGTAAGTTAATGAGAACCCAGCTGTTAAAACTGTAGACAAAGCTCTCATTGACCTCCATAGTCAGTGAGGTTTTCTTAGTTTCTGAACGTCAAGATTTCATCACCAGGTGATGGGATGCAAGTGAAACTTAGTAATTGGAAATTATCTTCCGTACGTCTTCCCACCCTGCACTCCCTTCTTTAGAGGGAAGTATTGATGAATTGGCCTTATAGTTACATGCAGCTGAACTGTTTTTTCATATACCAGTAAACCTGCTACCGTGGGTTGAATGCTTGGGAGGCAAGCACACTTATGTTGAGTTCAAAAGCAGACAATGAAAGTAGCAGTGCCACAACCTTGCTCTCCCTCTGTTGGCCTTTTAGTCCATATACTTGCTGTTTTTCTCCTTGACATCCTTTTGGATGGGAAAAGCTTACCTTGTAGGGGCAAAATGGTTCTAGGACAAGGGTTAGGAGGGCTCATTGAAAGAGCTTGAAACTAGATTGGAAGGGGGTGAGGATGTAACCAGGCTTGCTAGAGAGTCGCCTGGGTGTAGCAGTGCACCACTTGGGGGACAGTGTGCTAGTATTTTTGAGAACCAGAAGGCCTACCACCCCTCAAGGGTGAAAACTACATGCTCAACTCCCTCTCTGAAATGCTTATACTCCAATGCACACAGCAAAGGGAATAAACAGGAAGAACTGGAGATGTGTGTGCTATGATCTCATTGCAAGTACTGAAACATGGTGGGATGGCTCACATGACTGGCATGCCATCATGAATGGCTATGTCCTTTTTATGAAAGACAGGCCAGCAAGGCAAGGTGGTGGAGCTGCGCTGTATGTGAGAGAGCAAAGGGAATGTATTGAGCTCTCCCTGCAAGCAGATGAAGAGAGAGTTGAGAGCTTTTGGGTAAGGATTAAGGGCAGGCAAAAATGAGAGACACTGTTGTCGGTATTTATTCCAGTCCACCTGATCAGGATGAGGAAGTTGATGAGGCAGAGCTGAGAGTAACCTCACAATCACAGGCCTTGGTTCTCATGTGGGGCTTCAATCACCCTTATATCTGTTGAGAAGGTCACAGAGCCAGGCATGTATAGCCCAGGAAGTTCCTCCAGTGTGATAAGGATAACTTTTTGACTCAGGTTGAAGAGGCAACAAGGCAAGGGGTACTACTGGACCTAGTACTGACACAAAGTGGGACTGGTGGAGGACATTAAGGCAGCCTTGGCTGTAGTTATCATGAGAAGGTATGAGTTCAGGATCATGGGTAGTATACACAAACCAGTAAGTAGGACTGCAACCTTGGACTTCAGGAGGGCTTTGACGTCTTCAAGAAACTGCTTGGAGAAATCCCATGGGTTAGGGCCCTAAAAGGTAGAGGAGCTCAAGAGAGTTGGTTGATACTCAAGCACCACTTCCTCCAAGCTCCAGATCAGTGTATCCATAAGAGCAAGAAATAACTCAAGGGAAGCTGGAGACCTGCATGGTTGAGCAGGTAACTTCTGAAAAAGACAGTGTGCCATTATAAAATTCTAGACTAGAGATTAAGAAATCTGTCTCCCAAATGGATTTTATTCCTTCCTCATTGCCTAGCTGCAAAAGCACACACACACACACACACGCCATCTTTACTGCTTTTTTAGGCATTATAGTGGATCAGTGTGATTCTGTGTTCTCCCATGTTCTTTCCCTTCCCATTGCTTGATGTTCCTTCGATGTCTCTAGGTTATGGGACATATTTGGCATGGTTGAGGCACAAAATATCAAGCCAGAAGTACTTCAGAAAATAAACTATCCAAGATGTTTTTCCAGTTTTCCGTATCCTGTGTTGAATACACCTCATAAGGAGAATAGTAATATGCAATACATACATTACCTGATGATACTATCCCCAAAATGAAAATTTGGTGTTGTAAGTACTGATTGAACTTGCTGGGTTTTGGAATTAAAAATTGTCATAAAAAAAACAAACAAACAAACAAAAAACCCATCAAAACAAAAAAATGAAAAAAACCCCAAACATTAAATAAAGTACTTATTTCTTAGTCCTTGTATTGCTTTATATATAAAAAATATATAAATTGCAAGCCAGATTGCAGTCTGGTGCCTATTTCTTTATCATGTCTCTTTGAACTCATCAGGTAACTCTTTTCCAGGTTTTTTCTTTTATTCTTCCACCTCTCTAAGTGTGGGTCTTCAGCATGGGCTAAAACTTACTGAATTTTCACTTTGACAGAAGACAACACATGTATTTCCTTTCTAAGAAATAAATCACTAAAACTTCTGTGTGTGCAGTTTTGACTGAACCATTACGATGGAGGACTGTTAGAACATGCACAAGCACCCAGGAACAGCAGTCATCATTGTATATGCATCAGTCAACATGAATTGGAAGCAGTGTTTCTTGCTAGCTCTGCTGAAACAAAGACTCCAAACTGTGTTCAATCTTTGTTCTATTTATAGGAAGTGGTAAGATGTACTGGAAGGGGAAATTCATGTTGAGTGGACTGATGGAATTGTGCTTCTATTCCTTATATTTGAAAACTCGGGCAGCTACACAGTGATACTGCTGGGTTGGTAATTAAAAAACTGATGTTCTTTCAATTTCATTTTGTTCTCTTAAAACCTTTAGATTGGGAGGTTAATTTGAAGTTGAGCTTTGTTCTGATACCCCTATATAAAGACATAGCAATTGGGATGTCTAGAGAGATGATAGGATTAGCATCATGCAGTTGTGTATATGCGCTTGCACCTGTGGAGTTTTCTGGCAATGTTTGAGATCACTGCATAGGTCCACAACAAAGACAAAATTTTGACTATGCTAGAAAGTTAACTGAGTTAGGTGGGAAAGTCCTTGGAACAGAGGGAAGAGAGGGATAGCGAACCTTCCCCTGTTCTATCGGGGTGCTACCAGTTGACTGCAACAGCAATAACGGGGTTTGAATTAGAGCATTGCAATATTCTTCCATTTACAGAGGAAAACAATTATGTATGTATATCCAAGACTAAAATTACTATACCTAGATCAACAGGCTTCAGTCTTTTCAGTCCATTACTCACTGACATTTATATGAATAGACACAGCCTGTTGA